ATTGTGCTTCAGTTAATTTTGCGCTTGTAAAAAAATTTATTTAAACCAATGGTTATTGCCTTTGGCACTTTTACTAATTTGGAGATATAGAAAAGGAAATCGCTACTGTAATTTGACAAAGAAGACACTTGCGAGTTGGATAAAGGGCAAATCAGCGTTTTGTTTCACACACAGATAACAGGTTTTTTCATTTAATTAGCTTTATCCTCACCCACACATTTCAATTTTTAAAACTCTTTTCCTTGGAGAAATTCGTGATTTTATATTTGGAAAATTTATGAAATCTAGCATGCCGTGTGCTGTCAGGATGCACGGTGCCTGTTGCATTACACGGGGAGATCGTATCGTGCAAAAGTAAATCTTAAAATTGAAACATTGAACAAATTATTGTAGGTGTTTTCTGTGTGATATGATACACGGCATGTTAGATTTCATAAATTTTCTAAATGTTGAATTACGAATTTCTTCATTTTTTGTAAATCAACCATATGCATATTTTGTGTTGTCATACAGAAAATTGATTACTCTTTTTAAATAGCATAAAAAAACAGTATTGCATTTGAAAAAGAAAAGTTGCATCGATTTCCGGTTAAACCGTAAGTGATTCCGGAAGTTTAAAAATGCGAACAGATAGATCGTAATGTTACATATAAAATTACATCTGTTGGTATCTCCCCACATAAAATAGATATTGAGGTGACCTTTTATCTCGAACGCACTGTATATACTACTAACAAATTCATCTAGTCCCAAAATTGGTGCCGCCAATGTTCTGCTAACTTCATGGACCCAATGCACTTAGAATCCTGTATGTATTTGGAAAGAATGCGTCTTTTTGCTACCAAATTTCTTTGGCATTCTTAATTGTTAAACCCGGTATAGGTATACCACGGCAGCTAATTTTTCAACTTCTAGTTTTTGCTTTTGATGAATTGGTTGTCTTGTTGCAATTACCTTAATAAATGTGTAACAATTCAATATTTCAAAAAATTATCAAATTTAAAAAATCATGAAAATTTATAAAAATTCAGAAAAATGTAGAAAAATATGATCAATTTGGAAAGTGCGAGAAAATTCGAAAATGTTTAAACATCTTTTCCTATCGGAGGAAAACAAATATAAGGGGAGACTTTTCAGAAAAATTATAAAAACTTAATAATAAAAAATATCAAAACAGCTCACAGTAATTTGTACACAATTCGTACACAACGTCAATTAAAAAATTAATAAGGATACCTTTGAAAAGACTTGAAAAATATTGGAAATACAAAAATACGGAAAATTCATTAAGAAAACAGCCTACAAATAATATTTAAAAAATTCAGTTAAAAAAGTCCGGGAAATACAGAAGAATTGTAAAAAGAAAAAGAATTGATTATTTAGATAAATTAAAAATCCGAAAAGTGTACACAAATTTAAGTTTAAATAAACAGTAAGTATGTGCACAACATTCAGCGAATTAAATAAATTCAGCCAGTTCAAAAAAATATAAAAAACGTTTTTCATCGGGAGAAAAATTCACTAATTTCAAAAATTAAAAATATTTGATAAAAGCTGTGAACAACTAAAAACTACAAAAGTATTACAAATAAAGCAGGACATTTTTTAATATTACGCATATTCGCACAATAAAATATTATGATTAAAAAATACGGAAAATTCAGAAAATTGGAAAGCTCGAATTTAGGAAAATAATGATAAATCAAAAACATTTGAACCATAAACAGAATTTAAAAAATTATGGAACCTTCCAAGAAAAGTATTAAAAAGTTCAAAAAACGAGGAATATTCCTGAAAAATCAAAAAAAAATTAATATAATAGACAATCTAATCGAAAAACTTTAAACCGTTTTAGATAAAGCTTTAGAAAAATTCATACACAACATTCAAAAAAATTCAATTCTGAACGTTTTTTAAATTTTTATAGGAAACTCGGTGAATTCAAATGCATGAATATTCATCATCATTAGTGACATTCAACCAATTCCAAATATAAAAATGCTTCCTGTCGCAGGAAAAAATTTAAAACAAATTATAAACATTTGAACATTTTAGAAAATTTACACAACACAAATTCGTAGAAATAAAAAGGTAGAAATGAGTGTCGTCCATAACGTTGGAATTGAAGTGCACAAAATGGGGGCGAATGGTAATCGTTATGAGAAAATATTTATACCTTCCCCATATATTCCTTAATATTATCAAAATTTAACATTTACAACATGTTTCGACATAACCATCATCATCAGGTAACTGAAATCGTAGAGTAAAATCAAGCAATAAAATATCACAAAATACTTACAAGAACTAGTTATCACAAAGAGGTTAAATTGTCTGTGTTAGATTGTTTTAGTTAAATTTAACATCTTTGTGATAACTAGTTCTTGTAAGTAATAGAGGAAATTAAAAGTATTCGAAAACAAAATTCAGACTAAAAAGAATACAGATTTAAATATTGTAACGTAAATTTAATTACGTGGTTTTATTTATTGACAATTAACAATAAATTTATAACAGTCTTAAAATGGATTAATTTATAACAGTAAATATTATTTATCACTTACAATTTATAACATAACATAAACGCATCGAAGTTGAAACTGTTCTGAAACGAAATTCCATGTACTTATAATAACAATATAATAATAATAATAAAAGTCTTTATTAACAGAAACTACAACGTAGGTATACAATAGAAATGAAAATTAATGTAAGAGACGTACTCATGGTCATTATGCCCGTCTGAGGCTAGGCCTGAGGGGTTGTTGTTGTTTTATTAATTTTATAAAAAGAAAAAGAAAAAAAACCACAACTCTAGAGCAAAATAATTATTCATATTACATTTACTTATATAATAAACCCGAGTGTACACGAGTCTATTCGAATGTTCTAGCTAGAGCAGGGGTCGGCAATCTGCGGCTCGCGAGCCGCATGCGGCTCTTTTGATATAAAGTTGCGGCTCTCCGTATTTATCTAAAGAAATTACTTCATTTGTTCGAAATTCGCCTTTTTAATTAATCTTATTTGTTTACCAAATCAAAAGTACACTTGCAGCAAATAATTATCTAATTTGTGACACCTGTTTACCTTTACTTTCTTGTATTCTTTGGTTTTTTTATTATAGCAGCCTACTCCGATGTATAAACACGTAATTAATTAATGAGTAGGTACTTTTGTGAAAAATATTGAATAACATAAAAACTGCGGGGTTTAAGCACAGGGCACCCCTTATAAACATTGAAGAGAACGCAAAAGACAATCGAATAGCGAAATAAAACAGTAGTAGTTCCATTTGAAAAAGAATAGTTATAGCAGTTTGAACAAATGGCATTGAAACAAGTAAAAATATGCAGGATATTCTATTTAAAAAGATCAGTTATTTATTGACATCGTAAAAATGGGACACCCTGTACATGCAAAAATAATTTCTGTAGATCCGCAACCACCAATATTTTTTACCAGGTATCAGCTATGTAGGAAAAACCGACGCATTGTTGCAGGACCCTGTATATAGCCAAATACTATAATATTAAATCAAAATTTTTTTGTGGCTCTTTCAAAACTGGGAAATGTTATAAGTTGTAATTTTTGGCTCTTCTGTTTCAATAGATTGCCGACCCCTGAGCTAGAGCAAAACACGTGACATTTCCGGGAAAGAGTATGTCATCAGCCTTCATTCTTTATCGCCGATGACTAATCTTTCATGGCGCCTCGATATCCATCGAGATTTCTGAAATGTTCGCTACAATATTATTAAATACGGAAAATTCATTTAGAAAACTTCAAAAAATTCAGAACATTTAAAAAATTACTAGGAGTGTACACATTCGAATTTGGGAAAAATAAAGATACATCAGAAAACATTAAATAATAACTAGGTGATCAAGAAACTCGTAAAAATTCAAATAATGGAAAACTTCATAAATGCGCAACAATTGTAAAAAAAACAAAAATGCAGTTTTCGGAGATTTCTATATAATGCGGAAAAATTAAAAACATTTAAAAATTGAATCGAAAAATTAAAAAACCGTTTTAGAAGATTTTGAAAAAAATCGAAACTCACAGAATTCAAAATAATTTGTAATTTTTTAAAAAAATTTCAAATGTGCATAATAAAATAAAAAATAAAATTCGGGATAACCAACGAAAATTTAAAAATAATGATAATCCTGCAAGTGCACACAAAAGTGCAAGTTCAAAAAATAATTTAAAAATCCAAACATTGAAATAGTTTGGGAAATCCAGAAAAATAGCAACAATTCCAGAAAGACAATTGATTATAAAAATTTAGAGAAATTAGACACATTTGAAAAAAACAAATCAAAAAAATTAACAAAACTAGATAATGTGAATATGTTCTAAATATTTAAAAAATTGGAAGATTCGGTAACCTCAAATAAGTTACTCTGCAATTGAGAATTCAATTTTTTTGAAAATTAAAAGTCAAGTAAAAAAAAGTATTCCTGTCGGCAAAAAAATTTCAAGATTTAAATTGGTAGCATACAAATTCCAAAAATTGAATGGTAGAAAATTTTGAAAATTAAAAATATTTAAAAAAAACTTGTGAACAACTAAAGAATTCAGAAATAATAGAAACAATCCAGAAAAATTCAAGTAAATAAATACGGACAATTCATTAAGAAATAAATTTTGAAAAAGCATGAACAGAGGAAAGCTTCAATTGCTTTCTAGAGCGCCGCGCGCCGCCAATTTCATATATGAATCATTATTAGCGAATGACTTCCGTTTTAAATTAATACAGTTCGGATGTTACAACCACATGGCAAACTCTTACGTCACATTTATATCTTGTTCCTAATTCTGCGATAAACATTTATCGCAATAAGCGCATCCGCAAGTGTTTGATCTTCATTTACCTTCACCGACAATTTAGTAAAGATGGTGAAAATTTTACGTAGAATTTCGGTTAAAAGGCCGACAAAGAAAAAGGTCGAAGGGCCGTGTTTGCGTACCCACATTCTACAATTTGTTACTTTCAGGTTAAATTGGCGAAAGTGTTAAAGAAAGGAGATAAAATTGTTAGTGATTCCCAAGAGAGAGCGTACTGGCGTATACATCGACCTCCACCTGGAATGGTGAGTTCCTTGGAGCAATGCCCCGTGCCCAATAGATGTAGGAATGGATCGAGAGTGCGAAAAAGGACCATTGAGGATTGCAAAAGAGAGGTTAGTATAATTTGATAGAAATAAAATGAGAAATTTATATTCCGACGGTCGTTGCGAGCAGATATAAATCGCATTAACTTATCTCGTTCATTTGAAAACGGGTTTGCGAAAATTGGCGAATTATTGGAAACGGGAATCCCTCGTCGTTTCCCTTGATTAGTCAATCAAAAGTCAAATCTATACGTTACCCACTTCTTTTATTTATAGGTTGAGTTGCTCAAGAATAGTTTACTAAGGACGCGAGTGAAAGTATCGCAAGCCCTAGAGAGTATGATGCAACACGTTGAGACATATGCTGAATACGATCCTTTGATTGTAAACACGCAACCCTCGAATCCTTGGGTGAGCGAAGATCTAACGTACTGGCAACTCAACAGTCCTTTGTAAGTGAAAATGTAAGCGATCTCTCGCGTGTTCTCATCGCCGTTATTGTTTTTAGAGTTGAAATACCAACGGAAAAGCGTGTTAGAAGGTGGGGTTTATCAATGGAGGAATTAGTATCGGATCCAACAGGTATCCAGGAGTTCACGAATTATCTTAGAAAGGAATACAGTCACGAAAACATACGGTTTTGGATGGCGGTCAATGATCTGCGCCGTTCCTCTCAGTCTCAAATACAACGAAAAGTTAGCGAAATTTTTGAGTGAGTACTTTTCCTCCAAAGGTCTTTAATTATTTTCTCAAATCTAGTGAGTTTTTGGCACCTGGCGCTCCTTGCGAAATTAATATCGACGGAAAAACAATGGAGAAGGTACACCAGGAGATGAAATCTCCCAGTAGATTTACGTTTGATGCGGCTCAAGAACACGTTTACACTTTATTATTGAAGAAAGATTGTTATCCGAGGTTTATTAGATCGGAGTATTATAAAAGCCTTCTTGCTTCTGGTATTCAACCTTCTCAAAAGAAACGGCAAGTACACGGCGTTTCTGTTCAGCCGTTCTCATGGCGCGTTTGCAGGTTTTTCGGGTTTGGTCCGACGAAAAAGAAAGCATCGACCAGTAGCGCACCAAATCCTTCTCTCCTGCAACAGCAAGCACCTCCAACTACCATCGTCGGCTGTGGCGCTCTTTCAAAACGCAGGGGAAGCGATCGAAGCTTGTCGGGATCGGCACACGAATTGGCTATTTCCGGCGTAAGGGACACGCGCGTGCCGCACTCGCACTCTCAAAGTAATCTCAGCGATATTCCATACAGGTATATTACAATAAACATGGCGGCTTTCATTGCACGGCGCATGAGCTTTAACGGCGCGCTATTTGTATCCGCAATCTAAAAAAAGGGTTAGGGCACATTTTGTACTGTATACCCTGTACATCCTTGCGCGATGTGCAATGCCAAAAGAGAAACTTTTAGAGCCAGTCAAGTCATGCTTCACTTTCAGGGGTGACCTACCAAGCCAGTCTAAGGGCTCGAGCGCACCACTACCAAGTCCGTAAGTGCGAGCGCCTACAATCATTGTACTCATTTTAGGTGTTGTATCGTCGATGTATTCTTGAACCCTTGCCTGAACTGGCAGCTGTTCACGCTCTGTCACGCAATTAAATGTGAATTTTGGAAACCTTTATAAATAATGTATTATCGAGTGTTATTGTGTACCCGCCTTCGTTGCTGTTTCAAGAGATTTTAACTGTTCACTCTGTTACTTCTGAACTTATTTTTTTTTGTAGTCCATGGTAAAGTATTTTTTTAAAAACATATATACATCAAAACGTTAGCCGAAATCTTTGGAATAAGTATAACCACGTTTAATTTGTAAAAATCCAGAAACATTTAAGAACATAGGTATGTACCGTGTGTCACATTTTGGTCGACTGCAGTGTATCTCAGTTGTTTTTAAAGATAGACACTGATTTGTTACGCTGCTCAGACACAGGGTCAAACGAAAAGGTTGACTTTTTGGGATAGAAAAAGTGTAAAATCTGTCTATTTTATTTTTTACATTGAATCCAGTGGCGTAGTAAAAATCATTTTGGGCCACTGTTTCTGAGATTTTGGTATTTTTTAATGCAACATCCTGTATATCTTAATCTTTTTGCATTCTTTTGCCCTTGTATATCACAACCAATATACATTACAAGCAGCGCGATAGTCGCCGGCTCGGACTAGATAGTACGAATAGCACTCCTATAGGTTGCGTTTTACTGCTATGAGGATTCTTTTCGTGTGTTGGGAATTGAATGAAACGAAGCTGCTATGTGCACTGACAACAGGTTCAGCTACACTATAGTCAAAATGTGATCGGCACGATTCTGGTAAATCCCGACAATGCGCGACCAGGGTAATCCAGTGTGAAGATTACGGATGAATGCATTTGCGCGCGTGGTTGAAGCTATAAAGGCCAACAGACTCATCAAAGAGGACAAGATTGCCACCATGGTTAAAATGTCGCCGTTCCACGTTTTTGGAACCATGAAGAAGCACGTACAGGACGCGGTCTGTGATTGGATCGCCTCACACCCGGGGCAATTCTAGGAGCGAGGCGATTAAGGAAAATTTCATCAAAAAGAGTTCGTATGTGCTAACAGAACCGTAGAGGCTGCTAATTCCATAAAACTCATAATCCTGTTTTTTAATAGTCGTGCTCGGCGATTTCGTATCGCCTATTAGTCAATGCCGTGTACCTATTTTCCCGTTCTCGTGGGAATTTCTGGAAGTGTACACATTTTCGCTCCCGAAGAAACCTACGTTCTAAATGTAGAAGTCTCTATCTTCCGCAGTTTCAACTATAAAACGTAAAATCTCGTCTTTTTTTGCCTGTATTTCCCCGTTCCCGTTCCGGTGGGAATTTCGGGAAGTGTTTTATTAAATTGGAAACCTTCCGCGCGCATTCATCCATTTGCCAACCTACATCAACGATCATCATTAGTACCTATAACCCACGAACTTATAAATTAAGATTGACTGCTGATCAAACAGTTGCATAGAGGTAGAAATGGCCCTAGCATGGGCGCGGCCATGATGTGCACATTTTAGTTATTTTCTAGGGGATTGTTCCTAGTGCTCAAGTTTTGAGACTATTGCAGCCTTGGAAAATGACATGTGTCACAGTAATTTATTTAGAAAACGTGATGTTAACGTAGATCCACAGCCGTCTATAATTACAAGCCATGCTGAGAAGTTTGGCAACATTGTTCGAAAGTCAATCGGTGAGCCGATTCACGTTTTAATGGCGTCTTGTTTCTCTTGAAAAATTGCATTTTTCCTCTCTCCTGTGTTTCGCCTTGGTGGTTTTAATACAGAAGAAAGATACTTAGGCAGCTTACAATTGTACCTACATATATTTTATTTATTTACAAAAATGGATAATAACATTTTTATTTGACTTTAAAATTCGGAACGCTGTAAATTGGTAAATGCATTATAATGTGTTTTCCATCGAGATCTACGAAATTGGTGAACTTCTGTCGAAAGAGGTCGAGGTAAAGCACACGCTTGAGCACTTAATTTCGGCAAAAGGACAGTAAATCGCTCTGCATCAGCGAGGTTTTATCAACGACCAGGTGTGATTCGGAATGGCAAACTTTCAGCCAGTCGCTACTCCAGTGGGTCTAGGTACGGAGGGGAGCACCGTAGACTTCAAATTCCCGTACCGTGAACTCCTGGAACGGTTCCTTCAGAAAATCGACTTGACATGTCCGTGCTAGAATACCTGAAATACAAACTAATTGTGTTTTTTCACGATAAACACTTACCGTACTTACGTACCATGTAGTGTGTAGGTCATATTTGAGCTTGTACAGGTACTTTGAACAAATACAAGTGCTTGTAAAGGCCTAAAGGGTCCAGTAAGGAGTAGTCTGCTTTAGAGGTTATGACAACAAATCGATATATTTCGTTTAGCAACTTACCTGAATAATAATTTCTGTTGATTCCATACGGAGTAACACAAATTTATGCAATCTCGCTCTGTTAAAACTAGTGAATAGGAATATTACACCCAAAACACATATAAAATACACCTGAAATCTGTCAAGTTGAATTAGGAAATCGGCCTACCATGCAGTGTTGCCCTAATTCTCAGCACGGCTTGTAATTATAGAGGGTTGTGGTAGATCATAGGAGGGTAATGCTTGTTTATTAGTTGATTTGAATTTCGCGCCAAATGAGTGCACATCATGGCTGTCCCCATGTAGGTGTCATTTGTCAATTCAGCATTAGCAGTTCATCTTAATTTATAAGTTCGTGGTATGACCACAAATATACCTACAAAACAACAGATTGCCAACCTTATGTATTTAATGGGTAACACATTTAGGTATAAAGTCCCTAGATTACTAAGGTAACGCGATTCATTAGGCCAGATATTAGACAAAAACAAACTGCTAATTGAGCCAAAATGGCCATTTGACAATTGACACCTAGCGTCAGGTTTGACATTTGTTGTTTTATATTATAATAAAATAGTTATCTGTACATTTAGGACACTACTGATGTAGGTAACCATTTAATTCATTAGAGAAGCGCATCTAGGCACTTTTGCAAGAAAATAGAAGCCGAAAAAAGAAATTACTCAGAAGTGAAGACAATTTTTCTAAAACTTTCAATGAAGATCAATTAAAATATTTAGAATTGGATACACACAAGGGTTTTATGTGGAGTGGTGAAACGATTGAAAAAGCGAAACAACTCCATTTTTCTTGTGATGTGAATCGCTCACAAAACTTGCCCTATCCAAGTATCCGCACTACAAAATACGTACTTTATACATACTTTTCAACTGTTTTTCAATTTTAAATTTCGCGGTTCCAAAACTGAGCCAAAATGGCTGCTATTCGCGTTACTTTAGTGATCTAGGGACTTTAATTTAGGTATAAAGTCACTAAATATAGAAAGTACCGCAATCCATTGGGCTCGTGTGTTAGAGAGAGCGCATGATTTCTGCCCACAAATGGCGGAAGTTACCAGATTCTAGTAACTTTAATATTAGGGATTGTTCCACCTGTCTGGAGATATCTGTATATATTTTTATAAAACATGACAGTAGTATGAAGTTAGGTTATAAAAAATGACAGCTATTCAGATTTTATTTGTCAATTTTTTTAAGTTGGCAGCAAATTTGATAAAAAATGGCGGATGATTGCGGTACTTTCTATATCCAGTGACTTTATTTAGGTATATTTAAAAACGCCCTCTATTTCGCAGCAGTATAAACATATACCCTTTAAACCATGTTTGAACCGGTAAAATGACGCTTACGAATTTATGAATTAAATGTCGCTGCAAAAAATTTAAAGCGCTAAAGTTTGCACAATTCGAATTCCTTATTATTGGTATTATTGGTATACAGCGATATGATATGACAGTTTGCCCACCATTGTTTAATTCAAGAATGGAGCTACCCATTCGCTTTATATTTTTTGCAGCGACATCTAATGCATAAATCCATAAGCGTAATTTTGCTGTACATGTTTATACTGCTGCTCAACAGAGGGCGCTAAATGTGTTATGATTTAAATGCATAAGGTTAGCAATCGGTTGTTTGTGAATATCTGTGGTATGGCGAAATGTAGAAATGCTAAACAATATATAATAATTTTAAAAATTCTGCATCGGCCGGAAATCGAACCTGGGCTGCCCATTTTCTACAAATCGTATTCTAATGACATTTGGCATCGTTGTTGACCATAAGAGAAGTGTAGGTGAGACGGACTATAGCAAAATCATGCAGTTATAGACTTCTTCCTTCGCGAACCGGTACGGAAAGCGACGTTTCCAACGGTGAGGTGTGCGCAGTTAGAGGTACATACAGTATGGCAGTTTGCGACATTGCAAGGTGATGACTCATGTTCAGCACAAACGTTTTTTCAATCTTCGGGATTTTTACGCAAGTGGCGGCTATTGTTTTAGACAACACCCATCAATAGGACTGGTAGTGGTCCTCCTTAGAACGACCAGTTATGGAATTCTTTTAATTTTTTTTTAGTTTGCCTTTATTTTTGAGTGGCCGGGGTTTCAGCTGAGGCTGCTCTACCAACCGCACCCACTATACATTTACAAATATCCTTGCCCGAACCCGGATTCGAACCAGGGACCCTCAGCACCACACTTCAGCTTGAACTGAACTGCGCCACACGGACCGGCTGCAAATCAAAATGGCATTGCTCTGCTCCTGCATATCGGCAATCGATTACATTATTGCAGTAAACAAAGAGGTTGAGGTCCTATAAGGAATTTCGATAGGAATATGACAGTGGATAACTACTACCTACACTAATTACCTTTTGCCTCAATTTCCTCTTGAAAATGAAACAGCTTGACCGGTACAGTGGAAAAAAGAAAAATACCTCTAGAGTTCCTTTCGAATAGATTTCGTCCCATTGGATCTTCTCGATTCCAATATGTCGCTAACAAAAAGAAAGTGTGATTTTATTATAGACAATGGACGATAAAGCAGATATTGATGAAACGAGTAACAGACCAGAGATTATTCTAGAACACAATAGAACAAAATGTGGTGTAAATGTGATCGACCAGAAAAGTACTTTCCACATTATAATAAGCAGTACTTTTTAGAATGCTTGGTATTTCAAGAATAAGCTCAAAAGTTATGTTCAATCATATTCAGCACTTTCAAAAGTCTCCCAGAAGGTTTTTCATGAAATTTTTTATGTCTGTGTGACCCCGGATGGTTTAGATTCATAATTTGACCTCATCAGATTATAGGATTTTTTTTTAACTTATTTTTTCGTTGAGATCGCATTCGATTATTTCGAGTAGGTACTGATCGATACATGCGCAAGTGATTTGTATCATACCGTACCGATGAGGTCACGGGGGAAAATCTAGTTTTTACAATAAATATTTCTATGCACATTTTGTGAGCGGCATTAAATGCATACAAAAACACAAAATACAATTCCATACCTCAAATCTATGTTGAAAGAATTTGATGGCCTTAAGAATAACATTTTTGGCCATTGAAACGTGGTTGTATTCTGACTAATTCGAGCTATTGTCTTTCTAAAATGTGTCGATTAAAACTTTACCTAAGACTGTTAGAAGAATAGAATTCTTCAGTAGATTATTTGTTTCTTTTTCGCCTCGATGCTGGATTGCATTACGGGAAGTGACTGGCGTAACGTCCAGTTCAGATCTGAACCAGCATAATTCAATCCGGTATTGCATGATTATTAAATACGCATTATTAAATTGTGGAATGTTCCAGAGTACTGTGTTGCTTGCGTCACCTATATCTATTCTACAGATGTCTCTATTATCTATCACTAATATTTTTGTTGCGCACAATGATACTGTTGCACCCAAAACCTTTCTCATATATAAATTTGGTCAAATGTCGCAGTATTGGTTCGTGATTTGCTAATGTTTTGACTTTTATAGGGCGGAAGTTAACGACGAATACGGAGGAACCGATCCGGAATCTTCGTGTAGGATTAAGAAGCCGCCGAGTGTAGCGGTCGTGGCGAGCGTTTCGACGTCGGAAGACGTGTGCCCTTGGGAAGTGACACCGGAACCACATTCTAGAAAGAATTCGTCGCAAATGGATTCGTGTAGTTCCTCATCGGATATAAGTGCGGTCGTAACTGAGGTGTCCGATCGATTCCGACGCACGTGTGGAATTACTCAGCAGAGTACATTGGATGGTGGCCAGTCAAGTAGAAAGCTGTCGACAGTTTCTTTCGTAGAACAACGTCGTGCATCCGTTTCGGTGCCAATAAGGCATTCCGACATCAGGCCTTCGGTGTCTTCCTTTGAGGAGAGCAGCCCTGCGGTTTTTGCCGCGCCAGTCTCCCTTGCAGTTGCTAGTGATACGGACAATAAAACCGAGGAATTTACTTCCACTAAAACTTTCAAAAAGAGTTGTAGTCTTACGAAAACTTGCTCCGTTACCGGCGCGAACGCTCCCATTATAAGTGTAAGTTCAGTGACAGACGATACAGTGGCAGATTCGATTGAGCACAAAGAAGACGACGAGGCAGAGTCAAGTCTCAGTCTCCCGTTGGCTCCTCTTGCCGAACCGGACGCCGAATCGGCAAGTAGCGATACACCGTTGGAAACCGAATCCCGTCCAGAACCCGAGGCAAAGAGTAACGATGTGTGCCCGTGGGAAGACGAGTAAGTTAACACCACGCACCGTCGCACTAGCACTTATCATCAGTGCACATATGTGAGCTATACACTGATCTTCTTTGCTCCACAGGGAGACATGCAAAGTGGACGCTCCTTTTGTCAAGACATATGCAACTCTTGGTTATCTTTAATACATCCTGCTACCGCATTCCTCACTTCAGTTATTTGCTCACTACTATAATCGATCGACTTTTGAAGTTCGACCAAGTTTTTGGCGGCGGGTACGTTTCCGATGCTACACGAAATTCAAAATTAGAATTTTGTCGCGGCGGCCCCGGGCGCAAATGCGACCTGCATGTTACATGCGCGGAAAGGATGAGCAATCGTCGAGACTAGATCGAATATCGGGAGCTTACTTGTGAGCCCTTTAAGTTTATCCGATGTCGATTTCTTTCGCAATTGTTTCTCCTCGACGACTTGTAAACTATGCACAGTCGTATATAGTCAGAATTTACACTGGGGTTACAAAATTTAAATGTTTTCTATCTATATACACACGCATTCAATATTGTCGATATAATGAATGTTAGCTTAGAACTTAAGATCAATTTAATTGAAAAAAATTCGTGGAAGGATTAGTATGCGGTGCAGCTTCTAATCTTTTACTAAAAAAAAGTTGATGTATTTGCATGTTATGTCATATAAATATTAGTCGGTAATACAGCTTCAATATTCTATTGCACGTATAACTAGCACACGCACAGTGTTTACGTAATGTTTATGTAACGTGGTGT